TGATACAGAACAAAAGTAAATACATAACTTATACTTCGCTAAGTATCCATGAACAAAAAATAAAATTCTATCTCCTATGTTATATTTACACATTTATTTATTTTTTTAAAAAAAATCTAAACTGAGATGGTGAACGAATTAAAAACTTTGTTTTAAGCTCCATTTGAGAATTCTTTTTAAAAATTGTGTTTTTCCTTACGATTGTCCTTCCTCAATTTCTACAGACACTTTAGAGCCACAGTAGGCTAATAAATACAATAAACTGCCCCAGCACTTATAATAGTGAAAAACGTTTTTACCCACCCTGTCCTATAATGGCACATTCCACCATCAAGTTGTTGCTGAAGTTGTTCGAATTGGTGTCAAGAATGCAACTTTATGTTACAGAACATCAACACAGACAAGGGTTGGAGCTAAAACAAAGTATTCATACATACACAAGTTTTGCATAAATAAATGAAATAAAAAGACATAAAAATGACTCAAATTCGACAACTGTGAGGCAGGCCCACACGAGTCAAAACAGATGACTTTTGTTCGTGTTGTTTTTATACAACAGTTTCACATTAGTTAGAAGTGATAAAAAATACCATTTATATCCAGTGCTTAGAACACTTACGAAACAAGATCTGTGAGTGTGTGTTTTTGTACTATGAGCAAAATCAAGTTTCAGTCCCAAAGAACAGTCCTTTGTTCTCCGCCAGCCTGCAGAATATTATTTTGGCATGGTCATAAAATTTATAAAAAGAAATTAACCCCCTAATCTAAATGTCTGCCTTTGTGCAAAAATAATTACATAAAATACAATACTCGCAAGACAGCATTCTAACTATGCAACAAAAATGCATGAAGAAACAAAGAAAGAGATGAATTGCAGAGGGTGGAGGGAGGTGTATAACATTAATAAGAGAAACCTGTAGGAAATTAATAAATAGTCATTCTTTAGAAAAGAATGAGAACCTCCCCTCCAAGCTATTTGTAGCAGAACAGTTCAAATTCCAAAGCAATCTTAACTGCAAAGGATTTTCTTTCAGTACCTTAGCTAGATAAAGAGGGCGTGCACCAGCTAATGACATGGCAAATGCCTTTATCATCTTGGCTAGACTGTTTTTATTGCTTCGACTGTAGATGCAAAAACACTATTCAAATAAATAGTAAAGATACGGTTTTGTTCATGATTACAAAATGGCTGCTAAAGCTGGATGGGAGTGTTGATACATCAGAATAATATTTTGCCCTGTAAACTCAACAGTCCCATTAGTTTGTGCAAGCTGAAATGTCTACTTTAATGTAAAACTGATTACCTCCACCACCAGCACTTGCTACTGAAAAGGGCACTAGTAGTTTTCTGTAAAACTGATTACCTCCACCACCAGCAATTGCTACTGAAAAGTATAAGGGTACTAGTAGTTTTCCCCAGCTAATTCTGTAAGATTGTATGATAGCATAGCAATACACCACCTGGATATTTTGCTCATATGGATCATAATATAAAAGCTACTGAAATGGAAATGAAAACAGGACTGAAAACTAGACCAGAAACCTCTATATCAGGGTTCCCTAACATGGTTCCCATGGGCACCCACCCAGTTGCACCATGGCACCCACCAATGCCACTACCTCCCCAAGCACCCACTCAGCTTTTCAAGAAGTAGACAGGGCCATTGTAAGGCAGTGATTGCTATTAGCTGTCTTCATTGAAATAAAAGAGTTTCTGCAGCGGCAGTAGCAGCCACAGCTGCCGTTTCCACTTTTTTTCTCCCTTTTTCCACCCAAGCTTTTCTTTCTTTCCTTTATGCCCCATTTGCAATTATTTTGCAAAGCAAAGCTCTGCCCCTTGTGAAGCCACTTTAGGTTTGGCTCCACATCTCACAGCAGCCATTTTTGGGAGGTGACCGCCACACCTGCAAGCTCAAAAAATTTGGCACCCCTTTTCTGTATGCAAAACAGTGGCCCCTGCTACACGACAGGAAAAAAGCCTCTTGAGGCGCGGCTTTTAAAAGCCGCGCCAACGTTGACACGGCACGGCGGGATCCCACGGATCCCCAGCCGTGCCGCCTTTTCTCCCCGGCACGATCAAACGCCGGGGAGAAAACACGGCCCTAACTCAGCTGCCTGGTCCTTTGCCAGGGATTTAACCTGGGATCTTCTACATGGCAAGTGAATGCTCTACCAGTGAGCCATGACCCCTCCCCTATTGCCATTGTCAGTAAGGGAAGCTCCGGACACAAAAGAGGAATGTGGACTGTAGCCTAGGATTTCAATGGGAATTGGATCATGCTCAAATTTTTATGAGTTGCTGATTTGCTATTTTTGCCAAAGATTCTTTGGCCATCATACAAGATACAGAAATGCTTTTGCAATGCACTGGCATTCTTTTCCTTAAGCAAAACTCATGAGGGGTGAGAATGCTCTTCTAGCCTTCAGAGGGATCCTGAAATGGAGATAAATCCTTAACTAAGTGTCAGTTCACACAACCTATAGTAAGTATGGAGGCTGCTTGAAATTGCTTTTTGCATGGCAGCTACTCCATCTAGACCAGTATCTAGCATGCCAAATATTCATGGCCATGTTTTGTAATGGAGAAAATCATACTCAGCAAGTTTAGTGCTTGGAGCTGTCCCCACACAAATAATGGGGTTGCTAGTACACCAATAGTGTTTGTGTGAAGTAGACTTTAAAGGTTATGAACATTTTGCACCAATAAGTCTGCCACCTCTTTGGAGTAAATACCTCTCTGGAACTGTTATATGAATTCATATGGAAGACCTTGTGAACAAAAAATATCTTTCCTTCTCTTACTAGTATTTTAAACATCAAGAGCCAAACATATTTACAAGCTGCTGCAGTCATTTTTTTGTAGCACTTGCTGATGAGATGGAATAAGTAGATGTTTCTGTACCCCAAATTTGAAGAGTAGATTTTTGCTTATAGACTTTTATGCTGCATAAAATTGATCTAATCCAGCTTTCTGGGTCAAGTGCTAATATTCAAGATCTTATTTGGACCAATAGATTTTTACATTAAGAACCAGTTTATTAACCTGGCAGTATTAAATTTACCCCAAGCAGCTTTATCATTTAAGTCTGCCTTATCATTATCATTGATTAAATAGTGTGTTAAATTTCAGCAACAACTTTCATCCAAACACCCCAAAGCACTTCACAAATATTAATCTAATTTTTACAATATGCTTGGAATATTGCTATGAATCTCTAGTTATCTTACAGGACAAGCATTAAAATCCTTCAAACCTTATATTATTATGCATATAATGAGATTGCACTCTTTAAAAAAAAAAAGCAGACTATAACTATGATTCAATGGCAAAGTACAGGGATGACCTTGGTACTCTTTTGAGTTTTCTGGGACTTACTCATTATCTAAGACATTAAGGTATTGTGTGGCTTTTTCCTATGTAGATTTAATGAATATGTCAACACACTGATGGAACACAGTGATGACAGTAAGAGAATCTTTCAGCTTGATTACTGGAACAACAACCTGCAGAAACTTAAACTTCTGTAGCATTTTATATCTCTAAAATTCAGGAAGACTAAGTGGAATTTCTAGCTGTATATAGTTTCTGTATAGTATAGAACTGTTAAAGAATATACGGCTGGGATTCAAAGAACTACTTTAGGAGGACCTAACAGCTAACGCTAGCTCAGTCAGGCTCTGTGTTACTTTTTACCCATTGAACAATAGACTCTCATGTCATATTGCAAACTACTATAGAAACTTAACTCAAAAACACTCCTGGGCATGTGGAACTACTTGAATGAGCCTTTGGATTCCGTTCTGTGTGTAAAAGCAGACCCACAGCACAGACAAATGGTGCAAATACTGAATGGATTCATATTCTTTTGTTCTGCATACCATACAATTTTCCAAAGTGTTTTTTTGACATGAATAAACAATTCCCCATATATGTATATATTTCCCTTTGAATATTAAGTGCCCTCCTAGTTTAAAATACTCAATGACCAGCTGAAAATACAATGCCATCACGACAGTACTTTTAAAATGTAATGGACCCCGACATTCTGGAATGAAGACACTATTTAAGAGAAATTATAATTAAGACTGAATGTAGGGATAAAAGCAAAGGGATAGAGAATGGATTTGGAGGTGGCCTTATTCTCTTAAGACAGGCCTGTCTATAGCTGGTGTTCGCTCTTTTGTGCTTACGTAAGGTTTTCATCTGATGTTACATCAAGAGGCAAATGGGCAAGTGCATTGTGGCAACCATGTTCACTACTTTAAGAAAATCTTGTCTCCAGATTCCTGAGTACGTTACCATTTTCTGGAAAATTAAGTATTTTTTAAAAGATATGGGGGGGGTTAAGATGCCAAAGGATTGTCTAAGACTTTACAGTGTCTCCCTTAAGACTTTTTTTAAATGTTAAGATTCAAAAGTTATGAAAGTTTGGCACATCAAAAGATCAGCTATACATGTGGAGAAAAAATGGAATTTAGAGACTTGTTTAAAAAAGATGAGCTAAGATACACAGATGCACATATTTGAGGACCTGTTCTGTTTCATGATAGGAAACTTGCAGTAATTTTTTTGTTCTGTTTTTGTTTTCTAAAATAATTCAGAATAAAAACACATTCACAACCTGTAGGCTGGCACAGCGTACCTGAGTGAGAATGTAAAACCCCCATTTAAAACAGTAACTTAAACCTTTTTTTATCAGCATCCAGGAGGAGAGAAAAAAAAAACAGACGAAAAGGTAAGACTTGTAAGACACCTATCGATTCATATAAGTTTTCAAGTCCCAATGTCTGATACTTAATGTCTTCACCTAAATTAAAAAAGGTTCATGAAAAATTAGGGAACAATCTGTGTCACACATTAAGAAACATTTAAGACCATTCTGCAGATGTAACTGTAGGAGCCACACAGGCATGCAGGCTCATTTAAGAACTTTTTGTTTAAAAAAACAAAAAAAACAAAAACAAAAAAAAGTCAGAGTACTTTAATTCAGCAAACATCCTCAGTTGGCAGTAACAGCCTCATGGGCTTCATTTTCACTGCTATAGTCTGATTTGGGGTCGTCTTCAAAGTCCTCATACATTTCCATCTCGTCCTCCCCGTTTATCATTTCGTTTCCAGCAAGGCTCCCACTGTCTGTCTTCATGCCATAAGTGCTTTGAATGACAGGGATGCTGGGCTCAGGGCTAGCAGAGGTGCTGGAGCAATCGGACGTCATCTGAGGTGATGGTGTAGTAGTTGCCATAGTAATAGCACCAGGGTAGACCACACCTGTTCCCGTGGTGATTGGAATCTGAGGCTGTTGCCTGCAAGGAAACAAACAAAAAAAAATGGGTCTTGATTTGCTTGAGTTCCCATCTATCTCTTATTGTTATGGAAAGAAGTATTATTTCATGTTTTGAACGCTTATACCCAAAACATGTGGGAATGTATCCTAACACTTCCATTGAGACTCTGTATAAGAGGGAGGGCAGGAAGGGTTGCATCAGTGCTTAGTTCTTGTGGCCCTTTCTTACATGCCCAGGGAAATGCCAGTCACCACTTTGGGTTCAGAAGCAATTTTCTGCAAGCTAATTTGGCCAGGGATACTAGAAGTTTTTTTTGCCATCTTCTGGGTACGGAGCAGGGCTCACGGGGTGTGTGGGTGGAGGTAGTTGTGAATTTCCTGCATTGTGCAGGGGGTTGGACTAAATGACCCTGGAGTTTCCTTCCAAGTCTATTATTCTATGATTCTAATAAGCTTCCCATTCCAGTGCCTCTCTGCAAAGGTTCATCAAATTTTACAGCATGAGATACAAGAAGAAGAGGAAGAGAAGAGATTGGATTTATACCCCGCCCTTCACTACCCAAAGGTGTCTCAGAGCGGCTTACAAACTCCTTTCCCTTCCCCTCCCCACAACAGACACCCTGTGAGGTAGGTGGGGCTAAGAGAGCTCTGACAGAAACTGCTCTTTTTCAAGAACAGCTCTTATCAGAGCTACAGCTTGCCCAAGGCCAGCCAGCCAGGTGCAAGTGGAGGAGTGGGGAATCAAACCCGGTTCTCCCAGATTAGGACACATAGGACAGACCATTTAAGAAAATCATGTGGGCTATAATTGTATGCCCTTTTATATACACAGCCAGTTCAGATACAGCACCAAAATATTCTTTAGTGGTAATGTATGTATTTCTCAGACTTGCACACAACTTCTTTTCACAGTGCAGTGCAATTCTGTCCTTCTGTTCAAGTTTTGAAACAAATTACATATGAACTGGAAAACTATGGATTATACCTAGCTTCCAATTAGAATTGCAAACCAGGATTTGATAGTGATTTCCATTTTTGATGTGAAAGGTAAGCAAAACCATAATGGGAAAGCTAGGGTTTACCTACAACCTGGAAGGGATCAAAGGAATCACAGAATGTAATGGGACTAAATAAAAATCAGGAAGGTACTGTTTGTGGGTTTTGGAATTTATCCTATTGGAGGATGTACAGGATCATTTCCCTTACTACATTATATAACATGTTTGGCTGCTCAGCAGTGTTTTAGGTTTTGTTGGCTGAGTCATATATAGCTGGAATAACTAGGAGAAATCTACAAGGCTGATTTTTCCCCCAAAACCACCCAAACACTAAATTGGCAACATTCATTGTCTGCTGTTCCCTTCACATTCATTTTTCTTGACAACTCTCTAAATTACTTATTCTAACTCAACAGTATTAGGTAAAATATTTTACATGCTACACCCTTTGAAACATACAATCCCTAAAGAATGACATAACATTTAAATATGATCCAGATATTTAATTATCAGCATGGTCAAATCTGTGGATACTTAATGCCAGATATGGGTGCAATGAACACACAAGACAAATCTACAAAGCAGAAAAACCCAGGTGCACAGAAAAATCTTAAATGTTTAAACAAAATATATTGGGGGTTAACTCCCCAAAATAACATAAGAAGTGCCAGCACCTTTAAAAAATGAATGCCCAGTTAGTGGCCCTTGTGGGGGTTGCTAAGCAACCAGAACATTATTGCCAGCCTTTAAGCCCTGGTTTCTGTTAGTGAAAGGCAGAGTGGGCGGGGCCCTTTCCAGGACCGTTCTGGCTGTCCAGGGAGGACTCATTGGGGCCAGAAGCAACCATTGGGTGACTTGCTACCATACAGCTTACATGAATCACTCAGGACTAAAAGCAGACACCCCACAGACACCCCACAAACAGAGGTTAGCATTTCAGACTAAGATCTGTCAGATCCAGGTTTGAATCACTACTTTGCTGTCAAAGCTCACTGGGTGGTCTTGGGCCAGTTACACATTCTTGTTGTGAGGATTGTTGTGAGACTTATTGTGAGGATACAACAGAAGAGGGGAGAATGATGTGACCCCATTGTGGAGAAAAGCTGGTAGAAAAGAAGTAAATAAATAATACATATAGCTGAAGATGGGAAAGCAGATAAAAGTAGGTTGGTGGGTGGGTGGGAAGGAGAGAAGGGAACGGAGAGGTGAGGAAATGTGGCATGCCAGGAGAAGGGAAAGTGGAAACTCCTGAAACTCCATACCATCAATTTGTTCCATTATTTACAAATCCAATTGGGATAGCAATATTTAAACCAGGTGCCTTAAGGGACGGTGCAAATGGACTTTTCCTGGAAGAGAATTCCACAGTCTCAGTGCCACTACTAAAAATGTCCTGCCCCAAGTACATACCACAAAGAGCAACACCTCAACTAATGACTAATATAGGTGGTACTTACTAAGGTGCTTAGAGTCCCAAGAGCTTTAGAGATCAAAATAAATACTCTGATTGGGGCCCAGAAGCTTACTAGGCACCAGGGTTGTTTCAGAATCAGAGTTATAATGCTGAACATAATTGTAAACAGCCTAGAAGCTGCACTCTGAACCAGATGATTTGGGCATATTTCAAAAGCAGCCCCATTTAGAATGCGTAACCATAGTATAGTGTGGAGATCACCCAAGACATATCTAGCTTCTAGTTATGGCATCAACATTCAGCAAACACTGATTTCATTGCAACTCATTGGGTAAAAATTTAAAAGAAGATTTGGATATAAAAAAGGAATATCTCATTAGCAGTTGAAATGATACAGATCTTTTGATAATATATTACAATGTTCACAATCAGTTACAAGCTCCAGGTTTAATAATGATGGGGACACAGAAGAATAATTGAAATAAAGTTCAATAATCACAGTAGGAACTGACTTCTGCAAATAAAAGATAACAAGATTGTGTTTTCACAGCCATCCACAGCATAAACTGTGCACCAGTGTTCCCTCTAAGCTGAGTTAGTGTGAGCTAGCTCACAGTTTTTTAGCCTCTGGCTCACACATTTTTGTCTTAGCTCAGGGAGGATGGCTCCAGAGCAAACTAATTGATGCAGCAGCCAAATCGCTCGCTCACAACTTTAATTCCAGTGGCTCACAATGTAGAATTTTTGCTCACAAGACTCCACAGCTTAGAGGGAACATTGATACCTGCCCACCATGTGCTTGCCAACATGGAATAAAAGGGACATTGCATTCACCAACTAGGTGTGGGAGGTACAGTACATGTAGAGTGGGTGTCTAGCTTTGGACTGGACTGAATGGAGACCTAGGTTTCCTGTCTCATTGTCAATGTTGATTTCTCCACGCCTACTACCTCTATGCATATCAGACCCAATCCAATCATACCTGCTATTGACATTTGCCTGCTAATGTCATTTGGCATCTGAAATTACTCCACTTTCCAATATATAGGACTGATGGACTCACATTCTAGCTGTATCTGAAGACGTGAACAGTGACTCACAAAACCTCATACCCTTTCACAAATGTTGTTAGTTTTTAAGGTGCTACATCTCTTACTCTTTTCTTCTGCTACAGACAAACACGGCTACCCATTTTGATCTATCTCTATGGATATCACAGTCATTCTGCAGATACTCTATTGGTTACTGGTTTAATTCAAGGTTTTGGTTATCACCTACAAAGTCCTTAATGGTCTTTGATCAACATACCTGCAAGACTCTCCTGCTGTGCTTCACTGTGACAGCTTTGCTCATCTGAACAACATCTTGTGAGTAAGATCAGCAACTGCCTCTTCACATACATTTTCTGTGGGGGTTCCCACCTTGTGGGACAGCCTGCCCGAGGAGGTCAGGAAGGGACCCCCACACACACTTCTATCGTTTTGCAGAATGCGAAAAACAGCAATGTCCAAAAGGGAATTTTTATAAAGTGATTAGAACTATAATATAATGGGACAGTTTATGACAGAAGTGTTGAACTCATTTGTTATGAGGACCGGATCTGACATAAATGTCACTTTGTCGGGCCGGACCATGTTTGCCACAAAACATAACACCAGGTACTGGCAATATAACCTGTATAAAGGACAGCAGCTAGTAAGCTCCGAGTTGTTGTATCCTCACTGCAAGGCCCCATCGGCTGGGGGAGGGTGCAAAGGAAAATCCATATGGGCGGACTTGAGAGCCAGCAGTGCAGCACTGGGCAGACACTCCCACGCTGCTTGACTGCTGCAGATGAGGTTGTTCGACCATGCTGAAGCCACAATCAGAGTGGCTCTGCCCACTTCCCCCCCGAGCAGTCTCCTGTTCCCTCCCTTGCACTACCCTGTTTTCCTGAAAATAAGACCTACCCCCAAAATAAGCCCTAGCAGGATTTCTATGCATTTGTGGTATAAGCCCTAGTGTGTCTTCTTGAGAAAAAAATAAATATAAGACAGTGTCTTATTTTCGGGGAAACACGGTAGTTGCTCACGGACCACATAAGAGCCCTGGATGGGCCGGTTCTGGCCCCAGGGCCTCATGTTTGACACCCCTGGTTTAGGAGGTCTCTGCTATACGCGATAGTATTGTAGTGTATTGCAGTGTTTATTATACATATCACCTCCCTTCCTCCTATATATGTATGTTTGTATATAAAATACTGTCCATCAGTTTTTTGGACTGCAGAGGAACCTCTTGCTTTCTCTTTATACCCTATTTGCGCATATATATATGTGTTTGTGTGTGTGTGTGTGTGTGTGTAATCACCCGCATCACTTCCCCTGAAAAAGCTACATTAATAATTTATTTACAGATGACATTTCATTGTCAGCTAAAAATTGTGGTTATCAAAACAGTATTTGAGTTCCTCACATAAATTACATGCTGTGATTTTTTTGGGGGGGGGATTTTTCATCATTCCAGTCTTGCCACATTTGTCATGTGTGATATGCTGTGCTGTGTGTGACAGGAGTGGCCTCTTGCCCTGTGGCTCTTAGCCTGTGGGCCTTGCTTGGAGGCCTTGTAAGA